AACCCACTCAAAACAAAGAAAATATTTGTTTTTCTTTACGAAGACACAGTATTCTGAAAATGTTCTTCGAGAATCCCCAAAGAAAACACTGCCGTGAGGAAAGCTGCACAATTTATAATACTAAAAAAAAACTGCAATTTATAAAAACACTTGTTTTGTATGGATTAAAATGTATTATTTATGTTTTCTATTTATGTATTCAAACATTAATCTATCCATCCCTCTATCATCTTCCGCTTGTTCTGAAGTTGGGTCGTGGGGGCAGCAGCTTGAGCAGGGAGGCCCAGACATCTCTTTCCATAGCCACCTCTTCCAGCTCTTGGGAGGACTCAAAGGTGTTCCCTCTGTTGTCCCATCACTGAAGGACCCATGTCCTGGGTCTTCCTTGGGGTCTCTTCCCAGTCAGACATGCCCGAAGCACCTCCCTACGGAGGTGCCCAGGGAACTTCCTTACCAGATGTCTGAACCACCTCAACTGGCTCCTCTCGATGTGGAGGAGCAGCAGTTCTGAAACCTGTTTCTGGGTCTTACCGCCACCAACTGGTAAGGCACGTGACGTCAATTTGAACCCCGCCCACTGGAACAGATACTGAAAGGGGCTATGGAAACACAACGTGTACCATACCGAGTCGGTATCTGTCGTACTGTACCGGTACTAAGAGGTACTATGGAAAAGGGGCATAAGGGAGAGTCCAGCTACCCTTCAGAAGAAACACATTTCAACCGCCTGGATCAGTCATCTCATTCTTTCAGTCGCTACACAGAGTTCATGACCATATGTGAGGGTAGGAATGTAGATTGACCAGTAAACAGAGAGCTTTGCCTTTCAGCTCAGCTCCCTCTTCACCACAACGGACCGGCACAGAGTCTGCAATACTGTACTGCAGAAGCTGCATTAATCTGTCTGTCAATCTCATGCTCCATTCTTCCCTCACTTGTGAATAAAACTTTGAGAAACTTGAACTCCTCCACTTGAGGCAGAACCTCACCCTTGACATGAAGGCTGAGGGTGTGGCAGTAACCACATTACTTTATTGCTGTTAATGAAAAATAAAACCAAAAACATGCATGTTAGGATGCCTTCAGGCCCCGGCCTCCCTTGTAAAAGAGATCTGTGATCTCAATGGGATTTGTCTGGTTAAATAAAGGTTGATAAATAAAAGGCAAAACATAAATGTGAATTATTTGTCCTGTTTCTCAGTCTCCCCCATTTGACACCCCTACTCCAAGACCAGAAACCCATGGGCAATGCTGTTATGGGTAGTGGATTATTCATCATGTGAATGTCATTTTTCCAGCATGAAGTGAATAACTTTATGAATGATGCAAAGTTACTGTTTAAAAAAGCTCAAAAATATTATTTTATACAGCGTTGGACTAAAGAGATTATCTGGAGAGAACTGGTAATTTTTCTCACATCAAAATGTCACCATCTGAACGTACAGTAATACATTTGAAATGGCATGTATTCCCACAAACTTTGACCTTCAGAACAACTAAAGTGATTTCTAGCATCTTACCTCAGTACTTCCTCTCTCAACGTTCTCAGACGCATACGAAAAGACAAAGATTAATTCTGTAAGGAGTGATGTTTATTCTCCACTTATATCCAGAAACAGTGATGCAAGCACTTATGTTCTGTATTTCATAGAAACATGTACAGTATACAGAGACTAAACAAAATACATCATGGCCATGAAGTTGAAACAGAAAACATTAAATTAAGCACTGGAAACTGACAATGTATTTTTAAGGAAACAGAATTAAATGACACCTCAGTTGTTCAGTAAACTTGGAAACGAATCTGATTTCTTTGAGAAATGCAACCAAATCTTCGTATTTACACCGAAGGATTGCCTTGTGGCTCCAATAATACATAATGGGTTCATCTAAATAACAACTGTAGACTTGATTCTAAAAAAGATGAGCCAGGTCCTCTGGATGGATCCTTCTTGTTGAAACGTTTCGTCTTATCCAAAATACTTTGTCAGTCTGAGGAGCTGCAACAAACTCAGTCTTATAAATGGCACCTTCTCATAGTGGATCAACCAGTTGGTGACAGCCAAAACTAGCCGTTCACATGATCAATTTTTTTCATTTACCCTTTATTTATCCAGGTAGTCTCATCGAGCCACGAGAACTCATTTTCAAGAGAGACCTGTTTAGGGAGCAGATGGGGGTTAAGGGTCTTGCTCATGGACCCAAAGTGGGGCGAATGAGGGTGGGGGCAAGTGTGGGTGCTTCACCTACCCCACCCACATTTTTGATGTTGTCGGTACCGGGGCAAAATTAGTTTTCTCCGCAGGGTGTCTGGTTTCTCCCTTAGAGATAGGGTGAGAAGCTTGATCATCTGAGAGGGACTCAGAGTAGCGCCACTGCTTCTCCACGTCGAGAGGAGCCAGTTAAGGTGGCTCGGACATCTGTTTAAGATGCCTCCTGGACGCCTCGCTGGTAAGGTGTTCCAGATGCATCCCACCAGGAGGAGACCCAGAGGAAGACCCAGGACACGCTGGAGGGACTATGTTTCTCGGCTGGCCTCGGGGTTCCCCCGGAGGAGCTGGACCAAGTGGCTGGGGAGAGGGAAGTCTGGGCCTCCCTACTTAGGCTGCTACCCCTGCGACCCGACCCGAGATAAGCGGAAGAAAATGGATGGATGGATGGATGGTACCGAGGCATGAACCAGCGATCTTCCGATCACAGGCCCACCTTCTCTAACCTCTGCGCCACCACTCCCCGTGGAGTGGAGGACCATCAGCCTAATGACAGATTGTTAGTGCCGATGGCCGCTTGCTATTCACAGAGGGCTGGGTGATAATAGCAGTAACAGCATTCTAAGAGGGGGACAGTTGGACAGGGAGGCCTCCGCCCCTGTTTAATGATGGACAGTTTCTCTTCACAAAGATGGCCTCCTTCACTCCTCTCTTCTCTTTGTGAAAAGAACCCGTCCATCATTTAGGTAGTTTTCACACCTGATAGTCCGGTAGACTCGGTTCAATTGGGGACCAAAATTTGGAACATTCGTTCACATTTTCATCTGGTGCGGTTAGCTTTCACACTGCACAGCCCTGTTTAGTCCGCTTTAATCAAACTCTAGTTCATTTGCCTAGAAAGTATGGTTTGTTTGGGGAGGTGTGAATGTGCAATCAAACTCTGATATGGACCAAAAAAAAAAGAACTCTGGTCCACCTAAGTACCTAGATCTCGGTTCAGTTGAAGTGAACTCTGGTGTGGTTCGAATTCAGTGTGAATGCAAGCGAACCGGAGACCAATTGAAGTAGGAAGTGGTCTACAGTGCAGGGCCAACAAACGAGCATTTCTCTTACCTCATACGGAGCTGTCTCAGCCGCCTTGTGTGAAAAACAACACTCTCCATGGTCTTCTGCCTCATCTTCCGCTCATGCCGAGTCCATTCAAATGACAAAACAGAAATCCTAAAACTGCTAAATTTTGATGCTACTCCATTTTTGTTTTTTATTTCCAGAAGAAGTGGCTTCTTCAGACGTTTTTGTGTTATTTCCTTCAGTAGTTCTTGAGTTGGCTCGATTGACTCAGTGCAGTGTGAATGTGAACTGCACCAGCTGAAAATGTAAACAAATGTTATGAATTTTGATCCCAAATCAAACTGAATCTACCAGACTATCAGGTGTGAAAGCAACCTGAGTCAATCAAGCCAACCTGTCTCCCCCCCTGCGGCGGCACTGCACCAAAAACTACTTAATGAAATGAGACAAAAACCTTTGAAGAATACACTTCTTCCTCTTTTTCTGGAAATAAAAACAAAAATGGAATGGCATCAAATTTTAGCAGTTTTAGGATGTCTATTTTGTCAATTTTCAACAATAGCCTCATCATGAGTGGAAGATGAGGCAGAAGATCGTAGAGAATGTTGTTTTTCACACAAGGCGGCTGAGACAGCCCCGTATGAGGTAAGAGAAATGCACGTTTGTTTTGGTTGTATTTACCCTACGCTGTAGACCACTTCCTGCTTTTGGAGCGGTCTCCAGGCCGTTTGCATTCACACTGCATTCGAACCGCGCCAGAGTTCATTTCAACCAAACCAAGACTTGGTATTTAGGCAGACCAGAGTTCACGTTTTTGTTCCGCATAAGAGTTCAATTGTGCACTCACACCTCCCCAAACAAACCAGACTTTTTAGGAAAAAGGACTAGAGTTTGAATAAAGTGGACTGAACAGGGCTGGTGTGACTGCACCCTGCTAGTATTGCTAGTATCACTCAGCCCTCTGTGAATAGCAAGTGGCTATCAAGGGCACTAACGATCGGTCGTTAGGCTAATCGTCCTCCTTCATCATGTGAACAGCTAGTTTCAGCTGTTGCCAACAAACTCCACTATGAGAAGGTGCTTTTTATAAGACTGACTTTATTGCGGCTCCTCAGACTGATAAAGTATTTTGGATAAAAGACGAAATGTTTCAACAAGAAGAATACATCCAGAGGACCTGACGTAACATTTTTAGATTTTTCTACCTGGATTCTTGAGCATGCATCAGGATATGTAGACTTGTGTCATTTATATAAGGAAATAATTCAAATCCAAATCAAGACTTTGCCATTGACCGATAAAACAAATCAGTTGTATCTTATGGACTTTGTTATCCAACAAGTCTGTGGAAAGTCTGGTGTGTTTAGAGGTTGTTTTATAGAAATTAAATGCAGTTTTGATCAGAATTCAAAACGTCATTGTAATTTTGTCTAAAACCATGAAGAAAAAAGGGAATTTTCCCCCTTGACCTCATTATTACCTTAAGGCAACAATTGTAAGACAATTGATTAAATGTACATCACGTAAACTTGGTATGACAAAAACAAAATTACCACAATGAGTCAAACAGGACACACCGCAAATTGAACACATGGAGATTGCACAAACGTTAGTGTTTAGTCTACAAAACCATGAATAAAGAGGAAACAATGTGCAAAACAACAGGTTTAGGTGAACTCTGCATTTTATTTTAGCCTAGTGGCATACTGTTCACTTAGGTCACGTTTTAAAAAATATTTCAGTACTTCTTATGATAGAATAAAATTTATCTGAACAAACAGCCATGGCTACTTTGGTTTCCTTTTTTACTGAAGCAGGAAAAGATAAGGGCAGCATTATGTGCGACAATTTTACAAAATATACATATTTACCACTTTTCCCAGCAACCGTGGTTTATTTTAAATGTATTGGCGTTTCTATGAATGCATTGTGTGTACTTTTAAGGATTTTCAAAGTGCAATGTCTGACAACGTAATGTATAAATGTTAGAAATTGATTTGTGGCTCACTTTCTTTTTGCAGTACAAGTACCCTATCCAAAGTGCATTTGGGAAAACCAGCAACGCTCAGTAACGTAGCAAAAATGCTAGCTTGTTGTTCGGAAAAGTCAATTGCTCATTTATTCCAGAGCAGCCTGTCAGCTATGGTTTGGACCAAAGAAAACCACATGGGAAAAGCTGTATATATACAGTATCTGACCACGTGTTCATAGTTTTCTAAAAGTGTTTCATAGCTGCTGTTAAGAGTTGAAGGTAGATGTTTTTGTGTTTTAACCATAGCAAAAGAGGATGAATCTCTTATGTGCTTTTCCTATCAGTATGACCTTTTCTCAAACTCTTTCCCAGAACAGTCTTACCATAATGACTTGACGGTGATTGCAGATTTAATTGTTTGGTTCAAGTCCCTCTAAATGGTCAGGGATGGGTAGACCAGTAAGAATCGTCAGACACTTATTCCACACATTGAACACGGGACACGCAGGCTGAACGAAAGAGACATTAAATGTGTGGAGGTGCTGTGAGCCCACTGCATCGTAGAAGGACAGATAGCCAGCATCGTAGTCGAGCAAGATCCCTATGCGACGTAGGTGGGGCGATGGCTCAATGGCCAGCTCCTTGCTGTTGTGGCGAACCACCCAGGAGTTGTTGCAGCGGCAGAGCACCCAAGAGGCCGAGTTCTTTCCAATCCACTCATGCTTGGGGGCTGATTTGTAGGCAATACCTATAGCGTACCTGTTTTAAAAGGTAAAACTAATATGAAACCATTGCCCAAGCTCTGTAGATTATTAAAACAGTTACTCTTACCATGTGCTGCCACCTATCAAAGCCTCCCAGTAGTGACGCCCACTGTCAATATAGACGTTCCCCACCACGCCATAGCTGTTCTGGCTGGTGAACCGATCCTGGCTGTGGCCTTTCTTGGATGTGCTTTCGTCACGTTCCACCGTGAGATTATCATGCGACACCTTCAGCTTCTTGTGAGCAGATTTGGGGTCCAGTTTAAATGGCTGACCTAGTTGTAAAACAATTTGCTTTCAAAGAGAAATTTCCATTTTACAAAGAGAAACCATGTCTTTGCAAGTCTTGATTTCCTTACTGTTGGTCTTTAGAGTCCCTGGTTCACTGCTCCGGCTTCCTGCTTGATTAATGGCCTTTACGATGAAGATGTACTTGGTGCCACTCTGCAAACCGTGCACTGTGTAGTGGTTCTGCTTGATATTTGGAACAATCATCCAACTTTCCAGTGAATTACATAGACCTGGAAATAAAAACAAAAGAACTGTTGTTGTGCAGTTGAAACACTGACACTATATGAAGGACAAGAATCTGTAAAAGACTCTTTCTACTAGGATTACTTAAACTTTAAGCAGTTTTAGCACAAAAATAATTTTATTTAGGAAGTCCTGGACATGAGGGGGTGTACAACTGTGTGACAATAGAGCACTCTAAATTGAAAAGGATGTGTGAGACATCCTTGGGATCAGGTAAGAGGGTGAGAAAAGGCACAAGGGGAAACAATTCACACCTCGTAGACTTCATACCAGCGCTATGCTTTCTGCTGTGAGTGCTATGTGTGTGTCTTGGGTATGTTTGTTGGTACCTGAACATTTTCCAGACTGTTTCCTAAGGCAAACATGTCTTCATGTGGGTGTATGTTTACCCTTCTAGCCAGTGCTTTGTTTACCAGAGGGATTTGACTTGGTTAGTTAACACTTTTTGCCGGTCAACCAGAAGTTTAAAGAAAAATGGTCAAAATAGCATTTTTGGTTCGTTAAAAGCAGCTAAGCTGAGAAGCTAAGCTACAAGCTAAGCTAACAGGCCGGTCTCGGGGGAAAAAACCTCCATCTTGTCGAAGCTCCAAAATTCACAGGTTAAAACTGGTGCTTTTCTCTGCAAAAAGACACCGAGAACTTTACTGATTTTTTAATTAAAGGCTTTGTGTGAAAAATGCTATGCTAAAGAGCTCAAACCACACCTAGTGTCTGACATTTTGAGGACCGAAGAGAGACAGCCCATGTTACGTCAAGGGGCCGCCCTCCCATTTTTCTTAAAAAATTGGTTCAGTTTTATACTGGCCATCAGTGGTCAAAAAAGGTACTACACACAAAACAAATCAAACATTTCTTCTAAAATTTGGCAATAATTACAAATTATTGTCAAATTTCAATCAATATTATCGTTGATCGTAATAATTTCTGAGAGAATTAAGCGCCCAGCCAAATTTATCATGACAGGCCTATCCTCAACATCTGAAATATGACAGTCTAAGTTCTCTATTAAAGAAAGAAAAAAAATAAACTGACATTGTTGCAAATCAAAACCTGAAGTTTTGAATGATGTCAAAACTGATAACAAATAAAGGGGGAAAGGAACACCCAAACCAACAGCAAACTCACGCTTGGATCTTTCACAAAATTCTTTCAAGCTGAATCTGTGGTGCCTTTTGTTCATTTTGTGATTCATAAAAGGGTTAAGGCAGCATTTAGGGTTAGAGTCAACCTACTGCTTTTATCCTGATGCATGCTCAATAATCCAGATAGAAAAATCCAAAAAAGTTTAATCTGGTCCTCTGGACCAGATTGAACTTTTTTGGACTACTGCTTTTATGCCTCTGAACGTTCGAAGGACGATGGTCACAGAACTGAAATAGTAGATGTAATAGTGATTGTGGCTCAATGGTATGATTCAGACTGTGTATCAAAAGTGTAAACAATGTCCAGAACAGATTTTTTTATATATTTTAAGTGGTAACATTTTGGTACCATAATTAATTTTTTGTTTGTTTGCTTATTTTCAAAAACGGAAAAAAGTTTTTTGCTTGCATTACAACAGTTGAAAATAATATGGCAGTTTTGTCATTAAATGCATTTTGTTCTGATTGAATGCTCTCAGAAGTGTGCTGAGATGGGGTAGAGGTGGGGCAGCTGACCTCGGGACCCGAAAGTCCCAGGTTCGATCCCCAGTCATTTCCACATGTTGTGGTGTCTCTGAGCAAGACACCTAATCCCTAATTGCTCCCTGTGCGCTTGCATAACTGCCCACTGCTCCACCTGGGTGTATCCCAGGTGCGATGGGTTAAATGCAGAGAACCAATTTTGCCATTGTATGGGAACATACAGTGATGACAACACATGGCACTTTATTTATGAAAGGATGTACTGTAGTTGTTTTTCTTTTTGTTAAACAAATGCTATGTTAAATTTCAAAAGCTACAACTTTAATCTACAACTTGTTCTGCTTCTTGTGGCCTGTGTGTGTGTGTTTTAAACAGGTACAGTAACTGTGTTTTTGGTCAATTTAAAAAAGCTAAGCAATAGGCATGGTCATCTGTAACCGATTTATAATCGAGACTCAGAAAGACTTTCAAAGTAGTTAAATGGATTTTAAGAGTTTAAACTATTGTTTTTTCCCACAAGCACATGCAGCAACCACTGGCACGACTGCAAATTAGTATACATTTGAATCCACCTTCTTCCTGGGGGCTCTACTGTATAAATGATTCTGGGTGCAACTTCCTGTCAGACAGGAAGTAGCAGTAAGCATTGGTTAACCATGGTAGCGGAGCACGGATCGTGGTGTATTTGAAAGTAATTTGCATTCAGCTTTTCAGATAAAACTCTGTTTTTGTTTTGTTCACATTTATTTAACAACCATAAAGTTTACTAAAAATAGCCGTGCTGAGTTCAGGTACCTGTTGTGTTCACGGCTGCAGGAACAATCAGACCAAACTAAATCAGTGGCTACAACAACAGAGTTTGAACACGGACCCAAAACAAAAAGAGTGTTCCTGTGAAAACGGGTATAGTTTCCATCTCCTACCTACAGATGAGGAATTAATTAAGAAAAATGTGAACTTGAAGAGACCACCCAAAATGCTGTATGTGTTTCACTTTGTTGACAAACGGCCGACGGATGAAAACCTGCATCCTTCTTTATAGCTGGACTACAATAAACCACCGGAGAAGAGACGCCAGATCCTCAGAAGGATTGAAAACAGGGACGAGAACATCAGGCATGATTTCAAGTGTATGGAGGACACATTATAGCATTTGTTCTTCAGTATTATGATTTTCTCTGTAATTAACCCAAGCTCAGTGATGGAGGACTTTAAGGCTTTGGCTGGGCTCTATGCCTGCTTTAAGGTAAATATGATTGTGTCCCACCTCTTTTACCAAAATACCACCAACCTTGTTACTGTGTAGATACTAATACAACTCAGAGTTTTTCAGGTTGTTCTTCGCTTCATCGTCAGAAGAACAGAGTCAATGAAGTAGCTAAATATGCTAGTAGATGTAGCTAAATATGCTAGTAGATGTAATCTGCAGCCATTTCTTCAGGTCATCCTCCTTCACTCGTCTGCAGGCAGCGCTATGTTTATATGGTCCTGTTTGAGCTTTGACAGGTGGTGTTCTTACATGTTTAAATTAAATCCACAATGCTTGGAGGAACTACATTAGCTCGTACTGTTAGCACATAAACAAACGCCAGTTTCGGTCAGGGCCAGAAGTTGTGCTCAAAATTCGCGCAAGGTACCATGAGGCCTAGGAATAAGCTGGATAGGCTTTTTTTTAGATTTACTTTCCTTCCAAGGTAATGTTAAAAAAAAAAAAAAAAACTACAGCAGAATCCTCACGATCCTTAAATGGCAGATTCTCTTAGTGATTAAAACACCCTTGAGTTAACAGTAAAAAGTCCACTGTCCCTCTAACATAACCTGAGTAGACTACTTGAAACCCATTCTGCTCTGTTCAAAAACTTCAATTGATCAACCTCGTTGAAGTTTTCTATTGCACACGTGCACTTACTGGCTATGTTGGACTGTCCCGTGAAGATGGCGTACTGGAGCTCATAGGACATAACTGAGAATTCATCGTCAGACGTCCAGTGGACACTGATGGTGTCGTAAGAAGCCGTGCACAACTCTTCCCTAATGCATGGAGCACTTGGAGCTGTAGAAAATGAAGAACAGAAACATTATTTCAGACCTTAATTCTAAAACGTGTCCAATATCCAATACCATTAGCCCCAAATATACTTTAATTTTTGTGTATGGCTTAATTTATGAATTTTAGTTTTAGTAAGTATATCGAATAGTCACAAAATATTAAATCATGTCATCGGGACAGAGTCTTTTTAGAAGAAACATTTCATCTTTTATCCGAAAGACTTGATCAGTCTGAGGCCTGCCACCAAGTTCTGTCATTTAAATAGCACTAGCACTGATGTGTTTCAAGCCAGCCCTCCGTGGAATTACCAGAAACTGGCTTTACACATGCAAAAAGGGGACCATCCTTCTATAACAAGATCACCAGTGCACATCATGGACTGTACTTATATAGCACCTTTCTATCTTATTTCAAGATACTCAAAGCGCTTTACACTACAATCTGTGCCCTCATTTACCCATTCATACAGCGCTCTACTAGATCTCTACAAAGCTAATTGAACAAATCATTCTAAAGAGACTAAGCAGTGCTTTAGATCACATTCATAAACTGATGGGACACACATCAGAGGCAATGAGGGGTTCAGTGTCTTGCCCAGGGACACTTCAGCATGTGACTGCTGGTGGATTCGAACCCCCAACTCTCGCATTGGAGGACGACTGCTCTAACCACTCAGCCAGCCCCATCAGATAGGTTAGAGTTTTTTTCAAACCGTAGGTTGCACTATAAAAGCAATACAAAAAGGTGGTGTAATTTTTGCTATATGAGTTGCAGTTTTTTGCATAAATTAGCATGCCTGCGACTTATACACTGAAGTGACGTGTTTGGTTTTTTTTTTCCCCTCATATTTATAAACCAATTTGTGGCTGAGATCTGACAATTTCATTCATTCTGACATAGAAAATATTGAACACTACCATTTTCAGCCACCAGAGGGCCCTTGGCTAGTATGGCAAGCCAAGTGTCTCATTAATAGGTAAAAGTGGCTACTTATGAGACACTTGGCTTGCCATACCAAGTCAACTTCGTCTCGCTCTGGAACTCTTGAAGCAAATGTAAAATTGGCTGCATTTTGCCGCGCCACCCAGGAGAAATGCAGCTGCTTTGACCATTAAAGTACATTTATTAAGGAAAAGTTCAACTAAGACACACCTCTGCTATAATTTTGAGCAAACATATAATTGTTTTTAAGTGTTAATCTAGTTAAATTCTTGTTAAAGTCCTCCTGTGCACGCTCCCGCAGCCGCCATTTGGCAGCCAATTGATTTTTGGCATAACACCTGCCCACATTTCCGGTCAGCGGTGACACGTAACAAAACGCAACGAGTCAGCCATGTCACATAATAGATGCGACTTATACAGCGGTGCAACGTATTTGTTTTTTCCCACTTTATTAGATATATTTGGACTGATGCGACTTATACGGCCATGTGACGTTTACGGCGGCGAGTACAGAAATTAAGCCAAGCTGATGCGTTTCAAGCTTAGATTAATTAGATTACCAGAGTTAAAATGACAAATGTACATCCAATGATAACTTCCTGAAACTCATTAAAACCCATTTATTGGTTTATTAGATCTTTTGCTAACAGGCAGACATAGATATTTGGAAAAACGCATTGCCTTTCGATGGTGTGTAAAAAGATGAAAAGCAAGAATCATTCTATACCTATATACAGTAGGTTGTTACACTCAGGTTGTTTTTTACAGTTCTTTACCCTACAGTGAACTAAATAAAATAAATCCCTTCCACATTAAATCTCTAAAGCTACTTGTAGAAAGAGAATAGACTGGTAGAGAAACAAAGATACAAAGGCCCAGCTTGAAATGGTTGTAAAGCCACTTCTTATCTCTTTCTGCGTCTGTCACTTTCCCCCCACTCCCAGGCCTTCTGTCATGAGTGGCTGCACATAGTGGAGTGATTCAGACTGATTCACTGAGTGAAAAAGCCCTCCAGCATTGCATTGCAGAGAATAAATATGAGCCAGTCATTTCCACAGACCTTTAAAACCATTGCTTGGGATTCTTTTTTTATTTTCCCGTTTTAGTTTTAGCCATAGTGTCCTGATAATTTATACAGTGGCATTTTGATGGGTCATTAAAGTGGAACGTGGGGAATTAATACTAAAAATTAATTTAATGTTAAAGGCTGAAGTCTCTTACTTCAAGCCCAGTACTTCCAGACAGAAGTTTCAAATGAAATCAAAATTTAAAGCTGGAAGGGAATATTTAACACGGAACAAAATCAAAAGACCCGATAAAGACGGAACGCCTTGACTTTACAAAGCCTTGTAAAATTGTAACTTCAAAACGACAGTTCAGATTAATTAACAATGTGTGTCTATCTACATTTAGAGACGTTTTTACCTGTGAGGTAATCCAGATTCTCCAGCAGCTTCTTTTCTCTGGTGAAGTCCAGGGCAAAAGTGTCAAAAGTGTCAGTGAGGTGTATCTCAGGGATCAGTACCTGGGTTGATGCAGTTGCCATGGACACCCTAAATTATAAGTCAAGACTTTACCAAAAAAAATTAACATTGCACATAGTGTTATTGAACATATGTCAGCATTTTGTATTAGATATCAGATTTTGCCATAGTTGTACAAGATTACCTTCTAAACTGTTTGTAGCTCAACTTTTCTGGAGAAATTTTAGGACTGCTTCTGTGTGTGTTTTTTTTTTAATCTTGGTAGATTCTAACTTCTGATATTATTTAACAATACAGTGGTTTAAGATCTTGAGATGAAAATCTGTGCCGCACCTGCAGATTAACAAGCTGTCAGTTGAGTCTAATAGGTTAGCTAGCAATCGAGTAGCCAGTCCTTGTTTTTATTCCAATTTATCTAAATCTTTGGTCGTGACCTGCTAATAATGACCAAAACACTGAATGCAGATTTAGGGTACCGGTATTCTTGAGCCAAACAGTTACGTAGACTCTGAGAGTTATGAGGATTGATAGTTCCACCATGGAGGGATTATAAGGGCCTACGTGTTTGAAGTGATTGCCCAACGCTCAGCCAAAATGTTCATGACATTCACCACCAGCAACAATGAAGGACATTATCATTAGAGATGTTTGCTGTGGATCTTTGGCTTGATTTTAAAAGTGGAGTGCTAAAACATTCAGGTGGAATTATAGGAGCCAACACGTGTGACAGGTTACTTTATGCTCCGTGTGTTCAAGTCATAGAAGACATTGGCACAAGTTAAGCAGCAACTATAGCAATGCAAGTGCTATTTTAGTAGAGCAGGTGCTTAAAGAGTATTTACAGTAATTTGCTTGGCTGATTAATTTAAATTCATGGATGGACCAATCGCGACCCCTTACATGTCCCAAGATTCCTCACCGAGCTAAGAAAGCACCTACTTTTAGTAGGAGCTTTTAATAAATGTATTGACCGTAAACCGTCATGGTAATGGCAAAATACCGTAAATGGTTATATGAACTGACAATCGTCAAAGATGCCAACAAGGTACCTGAGGAAGTGTGGGCATGACATACAATGAGGGGATCCTGTGGACTTTTAGTCCCAATAAATGAAGCTCTATGGATTAGATCCTGATTAAAACATTGCTTTTGTTTGAAGGACTAAGGGATAATGATTTCTTTTTATACCGCTTCCCTCCTTTCTCCTGGGAAAACCCATAATGGACACTAGGTTCTGCTTTCAAGTGCCAAATCAATTATTCAAAAAGCTGAAGGAGAGCATGAAATAAGATTAGGCTAAATAAGACAGGAATTCCCCGTCTACTTGTCTTGAAAAAGTTTTTAAACTGGCTCTTGATGTGTTTTTGTACTCTCAGATTTAAGTTAAACAGTGGAGTGTTGTGCTGTATAGACATGCCATGTGTGGGCAGAGGGTAGGCTGTCTGACCTCTCGTTGATGCTCTTGGCTGTCTGCAGGAAGCGAGCGTGATCGGTTTCTTTCAGCGTCTGATCAGCCTGTGTAATGAGGGCGGAGGACCTCTCGATGCACTGCTTGCAGTTGGAAATCTGTTGGGCCAGCTTTCGAAGCCTTTGAGCCTGGAAATGTTGGCGTAAAGAATCCTCAGGAGAGTGCTTTCAAGATGGCTCAAACAGTCAATGCAAGAATGCTTAAAAAATAGCCCCATGCAGCTAGATGAGAATGTTGTGGATCATTAAAGACAAGATCAAATTATGAGCATATGACAGGAAACGATCCAGACGTATGGGGTTTTATGGGTACATGGAGATGAATGTTAACATTTCAAAGCCACGAATACACAAAAAGGTTAAATCCAGGGTTGACTGATTCAAGAAATCATGGGTCCCCACTTGATATCAATGTCTGAGGAAGAAAATTACTGCATTCCAAAGGGCATGAGCTCATCCATCCTTAGTTAAATTTCTAAGTACTGAGACTTAATTTGTCTTGACCTTCCATCCTGTCGCCTTTTATGCAGGGATATTTATACCCCTTTGCAAGTAGGAAGGATGCTAAATCAGATACTTTGAGGTAAAACTTTCTCTGTAGTACATCTCTCAAACTGATAATGAACAGAGCAGAGATGTTAAATGTAAACGTTGACCAGGAATTGGACTTTCTAGTCAGAGTAAATTATTTAAGGCGTGCTAATGATTTAGCTGTATGGAAATGTGGGATTTTGCGCCCTACTTCTTTGCTTTTCACTCTAACTGCTGACCAGATTTAGGTCAATAGTTAGACTGAGGTCAAATGATGTTTCATCATCAGTCTGGCTTGTACAAAATTAAAATCCTTACAGAAGTGTTGTCTCTGGAAAGATTTGGTTGTGATCGTGACTCCAATGATGGCAAATACATGTACCAGCATGTCTTTCTTGATCAAGTGTAAAAAGCTGAAAAGTAGATGGTGAAAGAAAAACTCTCATAAGCATTCCAAGATTTAAAACATGCATAAAATATTACAGTATCTGGGCATAGAATACAAGCAACCACCTCTTCCATTTGCTGTTGGAGATACTTTTTGGCCAGTTAGACTGTTTCCCTCACCTTCTCTTTGGAATGTGGCGAAAGGTTTACATCTCAGGCGTCTGAACTGTTTGCTATCTGTTGGATTATTTAAGTCTGTGTTTACAAAGATACTACAGTGAAGGGAAAGGTGACTTTGATGCCATATTAAGGTGCTTTCAGATTTAACAAGCAGTATGCTGATGACTGTCCTATTATCACTGAATGATTTGAAGAATGAATGGGGAATGTTCGGGCAGCACGGTGGCGCAACCGGTAGAGCTGCTGCCTCTTAGCGAGAAGATTGCCAGTTCAAAACCCAGTCCGGGAGCCTTTCTGGATGGAGTTTGCATGTTCTCTCTGTGCATGCGTGGGTTTTCTTCAGATATTCCAGTTTCCTCCCACAGACCAAAAACATGCATGTTGGACTGATTGGTAACTCTAAATTGTCCCTAGGTGTGAGTGAGAGAGTGAATGGTTGCTTGTCTCTATGTGGCCCTGTGATGGACTTGCGACCTGTCCAGGGTGTACCCCGCCCCTTGCACAGTGATTGCTGGGCATGGACACCGGCGACCCCTGTGACCCAAAATGGAAGAAGCGAGTAAAAGATAATGGATGGATGGATGGATGGATGGATTGGGAATGTTCCTAGTTTTCAAGATTGTTTTTCTGGACTGGAATTGGAAGTGTGTAGGACTTCAACTGTGTATAGGAATAAAGGTAGATTTTTGTGTTGGGAGCAGGGGGACACACATAGTGACAGATAGTGGTGAGTCATTTATCCACCGTGAGGTGCAATGGCAGAACCACGGTGCAGCTAATGGTGGCCATAGATTAATCTTCAGCCACCCCAATCATTTGAAATAATCAATGTTTTTGAGCAATATAAAAATAAAAAAGCTTAATGTTCTCAAGTGATTGTGGTGGTCAGATATAGATACTGTATATCAAATCATTTACGTTTTGCAAGTTCCATTACAAACTGTCCTATGGTTAATTGTACATTAGTTTAAGATATTTTGCTAACAGATAATCATGGTTTACTCCAACATTTATGTTTGATACTTATACAAAAATACTGTGCAGTATGTTGGCGCTTGAAGCATGTGTGGGGGTGAATCTTATCCACCACCAGCCAAACTTGGTCTCAGAAGCTGTAGAACTGCCTGATTTATAGACATGTTTGTGTTCTCTAAAGTCGATTTGCTGTGGTGGCCATCTTAAATTACGTTAACTTTAAATCATCTGTGTAGATATCAAATACACCTAATGAAGATTTTTCCAAGTTTCATTAAAATTTGTCCACATTCATGAGATATTTGCTTACGGACAAAAATGAGTTTCAACGATTTCCCTACTTTCATGGTGGCAGGCTAGAAAAACATGTAGGAAATTGAGTACAAAGCTATACCAATGGTTAGCCTTAACACTTTGAGTTTATAGTCAAGTTATTTAAAAAGCATTATACTTTTTTAATTTAGAAAAATGCATGAAAACAAATGATCTGTAATCTGACACCCCCACCCCCACTTTTTATATGCCCGTCGAAGGTGAGCTGTATTACCATATACAGTAGGCTTTATCCATAAAGTCTCTCTTGTCCAGCCCATAATTTTATATTTGCTCAAGATAATTTAACAATATGTCAAACACACATGCATTCTCTCTAGAATGAGTGCCACATACAGTTTTCATGATCTCTGCTTCAAGGTCAAGGTCACAGATCAATGTAAAATGTTACACAAGGTCTTTGCTATAGAATGCAGTATAATAGTTTGTTGACCAATGTATAATGTGCCGTACTCTTGATGTGTGTTCACCTCACCTTCCCCTCTTTAATCTTGTTGCCAATGATCTGCTTCCTCTGCTGAATGATGTCAATCAGGACGTCACACTCCTCCATGAGCTTCCCCTCCTGGTGCGATGCGTTCACCTGAGAACCAATTCAGATTGCATCACGACCAACAAAGAGACTGACAGAAGGCGAGGACGGGCGCTACAAGGAAAATGCATAGAGAGAAATGTAACGTCAAGCCGGACAAGGGACAGGCTGTTATTTTCATTTATCGTCCTGTCTGGCAGTAAATGTGAGGAAAATGACATATTCAAGTTATTTGCCTCCTGTTGATTTGAGCATTGGCTGATTTGAAAATAAAAAATGTAGGCAAGAAGCACTGGGGCTGTGAAATAGCTGCCAAGACACTCAGCATCATGCTGAGAACCAGATATAAGGTGCATAAAATTACTCCCTTTTTGCCACAGTGCATTACATTTATCATTTAGTGCAATATAGATATAGTGGTGCACACAAATAACCTCAGTGGATTGATAGTGGTTGTGGAGTTTGTGCTCACAGTACCATCACTGATTTGGAGCTACCGAGGATAAATACTAAAGTTGCCATGTTGAGAGTGTTTGTAAAGTGAGTTTAGGTTCCTGAAAGATCAACTTAGGTGAGTTTAAGTTACAGTGAACTTTGAGTACCATGAATGACTTTTGCATGGAGGACTTTTGGAAGTCTTATTGATGGACAAGATGAGCAATATGGAATGATAAGGAGCTAATAGATACAAGAAATGCTGGTAACAATATTACAATGAGGTACACAAAATTTGCTTAAATACTAGGGAACGCCTCAGAAACAAATCGATAACTAATGGGTAGTTAACCTGTACTTACTGGGGAACACACAACCAAACCTTGTTAGGTCAGATGTAGGTTTTTACACAGTGCATTTCTTAAATATTACTCTGTTGTTATCCTCTAAGCGAATACCTTTTATACCAACAATACTCTACTAATCAAGCAGAAATAAATCCTTCAGATAGCAATCATTATGTTGGCAAATTAACTTTTAAATTCAATGTTTTTAGTATACTCTTTTTCTAATACTCTGTATCGTCCTGCTTTTCCAACATGCAATAAGCAATGGAAAGCAACAAATGTGGTTCGGCACTAGACCCAAACAAGAACCATGATGCTGGCTGAAAAGGCACGCAAATAGAATATTCTGCAGTAATGGAAATCTGTGCCGAGACAATGAGTCAGAGGAAGCGGATGTGAGTTTGCAGCCATTTTTCTTATCATTGCACGTCTCCTCAGTCAGTTTTAGTTCAATCAGATGTAAAATTTTCAAAAAGCTATCCGGCATCACGCAAATAGTTATCCTCATATCTTCTTTTTTTCCTTACTATATTTGACCCCATCTGTTTTTTTAAAATACCTTCCACGTCATTCATCAAATGCAGCTCAGAGAGTTTAAAATTAATTATATAGTTTTTACATCAACTTATACCGGCTGCATGCTGTTGCTGGACATTACAACGGCACATTTTTTTATCGATTCTGTGCATTTGGTGTTCTTTGTATTTCTTTACCGATTATGATTACTGATTACCATACTTGCCGTCGTACACGTCGCACCGCTGTATAAGTCACATCAGTTCAAAAATGTCTAAAAAAGTGGAAAAAAAAAACATAAATAAGTCGCTTCGCCGTATAAGTTGCATCTATTATGCATCACCGCTGACAACCCGGTAACGTGGGCCGGTGTGCCAAAAATCGATAGGTTGCCAAATTACGGCTGCGCAAGAGTGCACGCCAGGACTTTAACAAGAATTTAACCAGATTAACACTTAAAAACAATTATTTGTTTGCTCAAAATTATAGTAAAGATGTGTCTCAGTTGAACTTTTCCTTAATAAATGGACTTTAATGGTCAAATTAGCTGCATTTCGCCTGGGCGGCACGGTAAAATGCAGCTGATTTGATGTTTGCTACAGGAACTCTGGAGCTAGATGGAGCTGGCTTGGTATGGCAAACCAATTGTCTCATTAATTTTTCATTCATTCATTCAAACTTTATTTAGACAGGTAAATCCCATTGAGCCTCGAAGACTCATTTACAAGCGAGACCTGATTTCAACAAAGAATGATAACAACAATAGACAGTTATAAAAGGCATACAGATTTTTATTTTACAAATAAGATAGCAAAAACGGTAACAAAAACAGCTAGATTATAAGGCAAATGTAGAAAACTAAAAACAGGAACATGTCTGCATTGGTCCCTGCCAGGAGTCCAACAGATTGTTAAAGCCACTTAGAGAGGTCAAGGTCGAGAGCTTCAGGTCTTTTTGTAAGATATTCCAGGAAACAGGAGCGGAATAGGAGAAGGCCATTGTGCCAAGTTCAGTTCGCACTGAGGGAACACTGCAGGTAATAATGTCCTGAGAGCGCACGCTGTAGCTGCACTCACGCAGAGACATGTAGGAGGAGATGTATGAAGGCAGCAGACCAAGAAGTGATTTAAAGATGAAAATGTACCAGTGAGAGAGTCTGTATGAAGTTAATGATGACCAGTTAACCAGTGAATACAGGGTGCAGTGGTGGGTACAATAATCACAGCCAGTTATGAATCTTAGTGCACCATGATAGACAGCATCCAACATCTGCAGGGTTCTTGTAGGAGTGTTCATGTAAATAATATCACCGTAATCAATTGAGGGAAGGAAAGTCACAGATACAAGGCGTTTCCTAGCATTCAGAGTTAGACAGGATCTGTTTCTGAAAAAGAAACCCAGTTTTACTTTCAGTTTCTTTACCAAGTTTTCCACATGGAGCTTAAAAGAGAGATGTGAGTCGACCAAGATACCCAAATATTTATAGGAATCAACAAACTCATTCGGGACACCATTTGAGGATAAAATCAGAGGAAGAACTGCTGGGACCGAGCATCCCTCTGGTTTTGTCGGCATTTAGGACAAGTTTGAGGTGGAACAAATCAGACTGGATGATGTCAAATGCAGATTGCAAAAGCTGGAAAGCCTTAAAAAATTGTTTTAGCTCAACAATCAGGGATGCTCTGACCTACATTGCCTATGTAGATTGTAAAGAGGGTGGGTCCTAAGACTGAGCCTTGTGGTACACCATTGTTGACTGTTAAATAACTGGAGGAAGTACCATTATGTTGACCACATTGCCTCCGGTCTGAGAGATAGTTAGAGAACCAACCAATGGTGTGATCTGAGAAACCGATTTCTGAGAGCTTATGACACAAGATGTTCTGATCCACAGTGTCAAAAACTTTAGACAGGTCTAAGAAAAGTGCAGCACAATAATCTTTAGCATCCAGTGCTTCAACAACATCATTAAGAACCTTCACTGAAGCAGTGGTTGTGCTGTGTTGTTTCCTGAAACCAGATTGATGTGGAGGTAAGATGTTATATGAGTCCAGGTAATTTTTGATTTGAGAGTTTATCAGTTTTTCTAGAACCTTGGCTAAAATACAGAGTTATAGATTGGTCGATAGTTGTTCAGTGAGGTGGGGTCACCTTCCTTCAGCAAAGGTAGAACAAAGGCTGTTTTCCAAGCGTCTGGGATGGAGTTTTGTCTTTTGGAGAGATTGAAGATGTGGGTCACAGGGACTGTGATGATATGAGCAGCCAGCCTTAAGAAATAAGGTGGAAGTTCATCTGGACCTGCAGATTTTTTAGGATCAAGACCTTAATTATTTAATTAATAATCACTTTTACCTATTAATGAGACACTTGGTTTGCCATATTAGTCGGGGACTCTCTAGTGGCTGAAAATGGTAGTGTTCAATATTTTTCATGTCAGAATGAATGAAATTGTCAAATCTCAGCCAAAACTTGGGTTATAAATGTGGAAAAAACATATATTAGTCGCTTTGTTGTATAAGTCGCAGGGCATGCTAATTTATGCAAAAAGGTGCGACTTGTACGGCGAAAACTATGGTACTTTTCTCCTGCCAATATTACCCCGGCATGGTTTTGGTAGCATGAAGTGCATGCAATGGTTACAAAGTTGAAACAACCAGTTTCTACAGGGGGAAATATTTATGGTTTAACACAACCTGCTAAAGTGACGTCTTTCCATTTTTAATTGTTTTGTGACCGCAGAATAAAAAGCCTTTACTTTTTGGCTCTAAATGTCTCGTCGTCTTCGCATGCGTGCAAAACACAAAGAAAAACGAAAGGAATTGAATCTCGAGACATGACAATCCTCTTTTCCCTTGCACTTTGGAAAGGTCTTGGCAGGCAGCGAGGCTGCTCTCTGTAATTTTTAAACCCTGTGGCACTGCTTTATTTAAAGCATCTTAGCGCTGCAGCATAACACGAACAGGCAGGCTTGGCACACATCTGCCTGGAGCAGAGCTGAACACATGCAAACAACCACACAAATCTTCTAGCACAACAATAAATATGGTAAACCCGACAAAATGACGCGTAATCATGAGAAATACAAGAAAGAGGCTTTAATTTTATGTTTGTGCATTGTTTGAAAGATGCTGCATATGACTGTGTGAGTGGCATCTGTATTGAAAACCAAATATTTTATGCACCTTACATGTAAAATAAGATTATTGCTGATTTTCTTATATTTGTCTTTTTTCAGCACTTTTTTCCTTGTATGTAAAAGCCATCAGCTATAAATCTTCACCCAAGGCACTGACGTTTATTGTATTAATAAATAATTTAGTCCTTAAAAGGTCAGAAACGTGACAAAGTTTCAAAGTCTACAGACAGAGCTTAAAATTAAATTTTGATTATCCATGACTTTGAAATGCAAAAACAAAGAATAGAAAAATCTTGCTCAAAAAGCATGTTTTGAAATTCCATATTGGCTTTTTTTCTGCATGCACTGCATCTTTAGCTGCTGGCTTTTGCTAAAATAACTGAAAACTTGTAAAATATGTGATATAATTTGATGTAAACAAGAAATTAATCATAACTACAGAAATTGCATTTCCTGTGAAAATGCATTGTGAATGCTTATTGCAAAAGAATTAGCTGAAAAACAGCTGAAATTAGCACAAAAAAAACGTGCTGAAATGGAGCTGAAATGAAAGAACAAGCCTACATTAGTAGAAGAAAGCATAAAGAACATAAATTTGCTGAATTGGGTTTAAATAAGCAGAAATCAATACAAAAAAATAGGAAATTAGCTAGAATTACCTAAATTTAGGAAGAAAAAAACCCATCTAAAAAGTAGCCGAAAAGGCAGAAAGAAGCTTAACCTATGAGAAGGAATTGGAAAGACCTGAAATGAACTAAAAAATGTGGAATAAGCTGAAATGCTAAAATTTGCACTAAACATCTAAATAGTAGCTGAAATAGAAATAGCTGAAACTAGCTGAAAAAGCTAAAAGGAGCATAACAAGCTGAAATTAGTAGAAAGAAGTTAGCTAGGCTGAAAGCAGCAGGGATTATCATGACAAAATTTGAATTTGTCTGAAAACAGCAGAAATTAACTAAAAAGTAGCTGAAAAGGTAGAACAAGCTGAAAGTAGCATAAGAAAGCACATGTTTGCCCAATTAGGCTAAAAGAAGCAGAAATTAACACAAGTAGAAATTATCTGAAAAAAGTTGATAATAGTTTTTTAAAAACGTCTGAAAAGTAGCTAATAAAAAACGGAAAGAAGCTGAAAATACCGAAGGAAGTGGAGAGAGCACAGTTTTGCTGAATTAGTCAGAAAAATGTTAAAATGAGTGCAAAACGTGGAATTAGCTGAAAAAGCTTAAATTAGCATAAACAGCTATATAGTAGCTGAAATAATAGAAAAAGCTGAAACTTGCAGCAATAGGCTGCAAGGAGCGTAACAAGCTGAAATTAGCCTAATGATATTGGAAGAAGCACAAATATGTTTTAGATAGCAGAAAGAATCTGAAAGGAGCACAAAACAGCTGAAAAAATAGCTAATATTAGCTATTAAAAAAATGTCTAAAAAGTTAAATGAAAAGGTAGAACAAGCTGAAATTAGCATAAGAAAGCAGAAAAAAACACATTTGCCCAATTAGGCTGAAAGAAGCAAACATTAGCACAAAACAAGTCGAAATTGTCTGAGAAACGCTGAAATTGCAGGAATCAGCTGAAAAGTAGCTAAAAAGGCAGAAAGAAGCTGAAATACAAGGAAATGGAGACAGCATAATTTTGCTGAATTAGGCTGAAAAAAGTTGACATGAGTGCAAAAAATATGAAATTAGCTGAAAAAGCTTTAATTAGCATAAAAACAGCTAAATAGTAGCTGAAATAATAGAAAAAGCTGAAACTTGCAGAAGCAATCTGAAAGAAGCAAAACAAGCTGAAATTAGCAGAAAGAAGTTAGAAGGAGCAAAAAAATTGTAGTTGGCAGAAAGAAGATGAAAGGAGCACAGAACAGCTGAAGGTAGCTGAAGGTAGCTGAAAAATGTTTAAATTTGCACAGCAAAGCTGAAGGAAGTTGAAGCAGAACAAATTGTGAAAGAAGTAAAAGGTTGTAAACGGATCTAAAGATTTAAAGGATGTAAAATTAATTAAAATCATTTTCTATGAGGGAAAAAAATGGTAGAAAAGGCTAAATATTTCAAAAAGCTAAAGTTGCACCAATACCAGAAATAGCAGGATTGTCCTGAATCATAAGCATTCACACAGTAAGGTGGTAAAATACAGTTAATAAGTTTTATTCAACACAAGTAAGGCAGTTTAATAACGTTGCGTGCACCAGAGCACGTAAGCAGTCCATTATTTTTATTAAAGTCCTCCCTCTACTGACAATCTGGGTCATGGTGACCCCACAACACTACTGGGACTCACCTCAACGTGTTGACAAGTCTGGATCAGTTTCCCCATTAACGACTCCAGCTCGTTGTTCCTCTTGATTAAATTGCTCAGGTTGGAATCCAGGGCTTGCTGTGGGAAACACACAAATATCACGCGTTGGACAGAGGAACACGTATGACACAACTATACAACAATTTTCTGGAAACCCTCGAAGAAACGGCGAGACGGTTCAGAGCAGATCCACCACAGAGCTGTGAAAACAAGACGCCGCTTTTCTTCTCTGCCTCCAAGTTTTGGAGGTGCGTTCAATGACCACATACCTCCGAGCGAGGGGAGTACCCCTCGTCCCTGCACTGCCTCCTCATCCTGCCCCGTCCGAGCCTCAGACGGTGGCTCCTGCTCTCTGAGAGGATGCGACTGGGACAGCCACCCCCAGCGAGCGTGAAGCCATGCGCAGACCCAGCCAAGCGACAAATCAGGCGTCAAAAGCTTTTCCAGTAAGAGCGCACAGCCGTGCCCCCCAGGCAAAACGACCCGGCAAACAGGTGATAGCACATCATCCCCCTTTTCTCCTCCCCTTTTCATTTTTTTAAAATAAAAAAAAAAGACGGAGCACAGATGGCTTCGTTTGCTCCCAGGTTTCACAAAATTGCCAAATCGGGCGTATTTAGGCCATTTTATCGCTATCACAAATTCATCTATACGTAAATAACAAGACTCCTACAAATGATATGTTTTCACCTACTTTTAACCCTTTTTTAAGCGACATTGTCAGAGATGTTCTGAGGATTACAGAGGCTCTACCCAGAGGGGGAACAGAATAAACGGCAGCAATCAAAGATGGGAGCGGTTGTGTGTTTTTTGTGTGTCGTGGTGCCACCAGGGGCTTAATGGATGACCTTAATACGCAGATGGCACAGAAAAGCAACGTGAGGGTCCGCTTGAACAGGAATCTCAAACAGGAAGACAAGAGTCAGTCAGACGCTCGTGCAGTTACGTCTACATGAAGTACATTTAACTTTAAATACGTAGAGTTGGTAAAAAGACTCCAAGCGTAAAACCCATTGAGTGAACGTATACTTCTTGTATTTTATGGGTTGCTTTGTGATAAGAGTCCATATTGCTGGTTTGAAACTACCCTTCCTGCACGTTTCGTCAGTTTTACCACTTGTTAATCATCGCGTTCTTTTATTCTCTTTATTTATTTTTTGCCATCCATATGAGCTACATTTAAAAGTGACTTTGTTAATCTGGGCTTAGTTCATCGGATCAGGTTTAATGAGTTTCTGACGTACACTGAGCCAGTAGATGACAGTACATTTGGACTTTTTACTTTTAAACAAACACACTTCCTAACATGTTTATTTGCACCAATTGGTCGCAAACGACATTCACTCCACCGATGCACAAAAATGAAATTGGATTTATTTTCTCCACTGATGCTATTTGATACATATCTCTCCAGTTTTAGTTTCTCTCCATTGGCTTCCTGTCAAATTCAGAATAAAATTCAAAATCTTACTTCTAACCTACAAAGCCCTCAACAACCTAGCTCCATCTTATATTATAGATCTTATTGTTCCATATTTTCCCAACAGAGCACTTCGCTCTCAGACTGCAGGTTCACTTGTGGTTCCTAGAGTTTCCAAAAGCAGAACGAGAAGAAGATCTTTCAGTTATCAGGCTCCTCTCTTGTGGAACCAACTTCTAATTTCTGTCCGTGAGGCTGACACATTGTCCAGTTGTAAGATTAGGCTTAAGTCTTTGTTTTCACGTACCTAATGATATGTCATGTATCACTGGGCACTTTTAAGTGGGTATACTGAAATTCTTAAACTTGTCTAGTGGGTATACTTCGTATGCCCACGTATCACGTAGGCTACACCACTGCTGCTATAGAAAGTACACCTGGACCTGCCATTTTGTGTTTGTTTGTTTCTACTTCCTGTTCCTCTCAGCCCCAGCCGGTCGAAGCAGATGGCCGCTCATCCTGAGCCTGGTTCTGCTGGAGGTTACTTCCTGTTAAAATTGAGTTTGTCCTTCCCACAGTCTCCTTTGCGCTTGCTCAGGATGGGAGACTGTGATGAAGTGAAGATGCAACGCTTTTAGAGAACTTTACTGCTCGTCTTTTATAATGTGTGTGAACGTTTCTGTTCAGTGTCCTGAGATGACTTCTGTTGTGACTTGGCACTATATAAATAAACTGAATTAACTAGCTATAAAATTAAAAGGCCCTTTTTTCTGACCGGTTGTTAATATACCTACAATTTTATATTAGGTCGACAAAACATTTCAAAACAAATGCATGAAGGCCATTTTGATCATACCATCTAATTAACGCAAACTGATGCAAGTGAGCAAAATGAGTGTTTGTTGTAAATGACTCAGCTACTACCACATCAAGAGTTTGGGTCAATCTATGTCAAACTATCTGATTTATGTTCATTTTTGTGTCTACTAAGGCCAATTAGTTGTTGTTAGTTATTACTGTTGTAATTATTAGTCCTAAATCAGTTGTAGATTTGTGTATTTATTACCTTTATGTTTCATTATAATTTACTATCATGTGTTTTAGATTTGCAGCTTCATGCCCGAATGTCGGAAATGACAACACGAAACAATAAGTGATATTTTACTAATTTTACGTATGGTTTTGAACGTGTTTCATGTCATTTATTTATTTAAAATGAATAATTAAAATTACAAGAATATAAATGCACTAGATTTAGCGCTGCATCATTTGTCATAAGCATTTAATGCCCAAACGCATTGGTTCCCAACCCTGGTCCTTGAGGAACACCATCCTGCATGTTTTAGTTGTTTCTCTGCTTTAACACACCTGACTTGATTGAATGGGTGATTAATGGGCTTCTGTAGAACTTGAAGTAATTAAATCGTTGAACCGGGTGTGATGAACGAGAGAAACAACTAAAATATGCAGGATGGTGATCCTCAGGGACTAGTGTTTGGAACCATTGCAGACCTAAGATATGGAAACACTTTTTTAAGAACAATAAGAGTTAAATAAAATGTATTATTGTTATGTTAATGTTATCAATGGCTTAAGCTGATATTTATATATTTTACTTTTCAGGTTAACCTATTTTGATTTAGTTGTTTTTTTATATACCAGTCAAAGGCGAACGTATTGTAGTATAGTCTCTCTTCGTTTATCAACGTTCTCTTGTCCTGCCCATAATTTCTGATCCGCTCAAGATAATTTAATGAAACTTAATACACATACAGTATGTATCATCACTAGACAGACTGTCATTTAAAGTTTTCATCACCCCCAGCTCTAAGGTCCAAACACAAATCAGGGTCAAATTTAAAACAAAGGCCTTGCTTGACCTGTCCATACCTTCTGATCCGCTCAAGATAATTTAATGAAATTCCATACACATACGCATCATCACTAGATGGTGTTGCATACACTTTTCATCACCCCAGCTTCACAGTCAAGGTCACAAATAAAGACCAAAGTTTACACAACCTCTTAGCTTGTCCGGTCCATTGCTATACATCGCTGTATAATAGTTTGTTGACGGGCATATAATGTGCTGTATAAAGTACTCATGTTCAGCGTTTCTAACTTTTGTTTCCTGTTTACATTGGTCATACAAAGAAGGACTGAAGCCATGTAAACAAAACGTACGACTGAAAGCGAAATATGTGAAACCAAAATAAAAATAGAAGAAAACAATTACCTGTCATTTCACATCCACACGGTTTTTGCGTTTGCACTTTTTTTGTCAGATCGACACCTAATTTTTCATGCCTGAGCTCCTCTGGAAATCTGAAACAATATGTTTGTGTTTCAGTTCGAGACAAACCAAGATGACTGTTGTGGGGTGGGTGAAAAGAGCTGTGATCCGAAAGCAAAACACAGCAGAAAGAAATGTTTGTACGGAAACAGAAAAAATGAAGCGTGCACACAGCTTTTGTTGTGTTTGAGAGACAAGAGAGCTCCAAGTGAAAGAAATATTGAGCACAGAGGAGAACAAATAATGCTTAGCATCCTGCACAATGCACAAAAGTTCTCAAAAGATGGATTTTATTTTCCAAAAAAATAGGAAAACGAATGGGTTTTTTGTCTCATATGGGTTTTAAATGGTGTTGACTTTATTTGGATCTACATCAAGGGGTCATTCAAAGGCATTAAAAATAGAGCAATTGCATTTTTCTTCAGTTTTTAATACAATTCAACCTCACATATTGAGAGGCTTGTTGAACAGTTTCCTCTGTTTTAACAATTTCTTCTTCTTGTTCTTCTTTCGGCTTTTCCCGGGGTCTCCACAGCGAGTCATCCTCCTCCATCTCTGTCCTCTGCATCCTCTGTCCTCACTCCAACTCCCTCCATGTCCTCTCTAACTGCATCCATATGTCTCCTCTTTGTCTTTTTCCTGGCAGCTGCATTTCTAACATCCTTCTACCAATATACCCACTGTCCCACCTCTGGACATGTCCAAACCATCTCAGTCTGGCCTCCCTAACTTTATCTCCCAGTTGTTCAATCTGTGCTGTACCGCTGATGATCTCATTCCTAATCTTATCCATCCTTGTCACTCCTAAGGAGAACCTCAACATCTTCATTTCTGCCACTTCCAGTTCTTTCTCCTGTCTTTTTGTCAATGCCACTGTGTGGCAGTGGCCAGAGGCCAGACTGAGATGGTTTGGACATGTCCAGAGGTGGGACAGTGGGTATATTGGTAGAAGGATGTTAGAAAAACAGCTGTCAGGAAAAAGACAAAGAGGAAGGCCAAAGAGGAGATATGTGGATGCAGTTAGAGAGGACATGGAGGTAGTTGGAGTGAGGACAGAGGATGCAGAGGACAGAGTGAGATGGAGGAGGATGACTCGCTGTGGTGACCCCAGAAGAGGGAAAAGCCAACAGAAAAAGGTATAAAACAATAATACCATGTTAAGTCTGCTTTGTATAATTTCTACTAGCGTTCGCTCTCTCATGCTTCAGATACACACAACACAAGCTATTTTCATGGCCATAACTAACACATGATGACAGTCATTTCTCAAGTAAACCCACCCGTACCCAGCAGGAAAGTGGTTCTTATTATTCTGGAACCTCAATGAAGACACTATGTCTCACCATTAATGACATTCCCCATATTCACTTAGTGTGCTTCCCCTGTATACCCTTGTGGCTTGCTGGCATGGTTCAGCCATTATGCTAATTGCTTAATTATTCAGGAGAGATTGTAAATTAGTGTGAAAAGATGAAATCTCACTGATAATCGAATCAGATACCTGAACAAGGATATTAGGAAATTTCATACATCAGAGCAGAATGAAATTAAAGTTTAAAATCCATTATGTGCCTAAGATAAAAGAAGGTTGGAGTGTCTATGTACTTATCTGTAATTAGGGTGAGTCGAATCTCTTTGGAAGCAGCAGCAAGTTTTATTAAACCACCATAAAACTCGTGTAATTCCGTTTTCAAATACCAAAGTAAACTTCTGTGCTTACCTTGAGTTTTTCGTAGCGGTCGCTGAGTGCTGCCACCTGATGATCCCGGTGCCTTCCAACCAGTTTGCACAGTGAGCAGATCAGCTGATCATCGCTTACGCAGTACATGTTCACCTTCTCCTCCTCATGCTCCAGGCACTGGAGCCCTCGGAGGTGGGAATCGGGCATCGGCTCAATAAGCCGGTGACCGGTGAACGGCTTCTTGTTTGGGTGAGTTGCTTTGAGGCACTCCTCGCAGTACGACACCTCACATGTCACGCACGTCTTAACTGCCTCCTGAGGTGGGTCCTGCTCACAGAACTGGCACTGGACAGGCTCTGGTGGGGTACATGGGCTGGACATGGCGGCGTTGACGGGTACCAGAGCCAGCCGGTTGCTCCCTTCTTCGGAGGGAGAGTTGGGTCCACTGTGGGGAGTCGGCAAAGGCAACGGTAGAGGAAGCCCAGCTGAAGATGAGGCTTGTTGAACTCTGTCAATGATGTTCTGCAAGGTCACGTTTCTCTTGAGTCCTTCTAGTCCACGCTCTGGACTCAGGGAAATGACATATCTACAAGTGGGGCACTGGAAGGCTCCGATGCTATGGACGGACTCGTTTGTGGCGCAGTGGGAGACGAGGATGCGATGGGCACAACCGAAGCACAGGCTATGGGCGCAGGGGAGCAGCAGCGGGTCTTCAAAGAGCTCCAGGCAGATTGGGCAGGTCAGCTCTGACTCCAGAGTGTCCATCCTGCTCAGAAAAGGCCAGGCGGGACCAGGCACAGCGTCAGCAAAATCCAGAAGAACCACTCAGCTGTCTGGAGGTCAGCAAAAGAGGGACAGGAGTAGTAGAGAGGGAAAGAAAGCAGAGGGGTTTGTGATTAAATGGCGTGAAACGGCTTAACTTTCAGCTGTTTTCTTGGGAGAGCTTATGTCTCAGTGGAGCAAAACGGTGAGTAGACTTAAAGAATGGCAGTACTGAACACTGCTTCTGAGGTGTAAACTGAAGAGAAGTAGTTATCAAAACCACCTTAAAGCAACCCACCCACAAGATCTGTTAAAAAGTTGATTCTGGACCTTTTAAGTAAAAGAACGTGCGGCATATTCTCAATCATTAGAAACAATTAGTGTTGAAAACATTCATTCTATCCATTTTTTTTTAGATGCTTACTATTATCAAATTCATGGCTGCGGTAGCTTGATGGCCAGCGCCATGGTCTTGAAATCCTGAGGTTGCGTGTTCGAGCCCAGGTTGCATCAGGAAGAGCATATGGCATAAAACAAATCGTCAAATCTTTCATGCGAGTTCACTTGCCGTGGCAACCTCTGACGAGGGAGCAGCCGAAAGAAACTACTGTTACCGAATGTCTAGTTAGAATTAGCAACATGCTAGTTTTGGCTATGCTTGAATTATTAGGATCGCCATCTGGATGCAGATTTGAAAATGTTGTGCTCAAATTATAATAAAGAGTCAAGAAACTGCCAAACTGTGTTTCCACATGCCTTGAATTGGAATGATCTCTGTATGATTTAGTCTCCTCAAAAAATTTGCAGCAGTAGTGATTAACGACTAACGGCTGTAGTCAGCAGTGCTGTGGGTTATTAGCAATTAGTGCTAATGATAGTAAACTGAATAGTATTTCTGAGTAAGAGTACTCGAGACCTAATTTCCAGCCTGGATCATACTTAGATTCAAACCTTTTTAATCTTACTGAAGTGTGTGTTTTGTGCGTGAGCATTCATTGACAGATGGAGTGTTGTTTGTATTGTAGGTATTGCAGCTGAAGGCAGTTAACGATTAGCACACATGTCAACTTGTTCCCCCACACAAAGATGATGACTTTTTTTTTGTTGTTTCAGCTGTCGGGGAGTCATTGTTTTTAGGAAAATAAGCTAGAACATTGATTAAATTAACTACAAATGTTTCAGCTGCTCATAATTTCTTTATTTAGCCATTTTTCCTTTTAATTTTGTTGTTTCGTCTGAATGTCCCATCTCAGACAGGCTGGTAGAACATTTATAACCACAATTTATGACGATATAATCCATATAAAACCATCATTTCAGTTTAGGGGGTGATTATTTTGGGTTTGCAAGCCTGGAATTTGCAGAAAATTATTAATTTACGTCCAATTAATTCCAGGTCAGGAGGCTATTTTTGCAGTGGTTTCCAACCCTGGTCCTCGAGGAACACTATCATGAATGTTAGTTCTTTTTTTTAAATTTAATTACTTCCTAGAGTTCTGCAGAAGCCTGTTAATCACACACTCATTCAAATCAGGTGTGTCAAAGCTTAGAAACAACTGAAACATGCAGGGTGGTGTTCCTCAAGGACCACTGTTGGGAACCACTGATTTAAAGGACCATTTTGTTTTAGCATTTTTCATTTTAAATCAAGTTTATACAAAGCTACAACCACTCTTCAAAAATAAAGTTGCTTTTTTTCCATTTTAAACTACTTTTAAACCACTGTTAATGTCTCTTTGTGGTGCAAAACTTGTATATTTTCATAAAAGGAAACGTTTTTTTATGTATGAGTTATGCAGACCTATTTGAATTCTTATGAGGAAGGTAAAATAAATCACCCCGTTAGAAATAAATGATTAAGCTGCAGCCGATTGTCTTAAAATGGAAATCAGTTCTTTGTTTTTAATACTGTTTTCTTTTATTCAAATCCAAGACCCCAACTAGTTTGTACCTGAACTGCTAAGGAATTTGCTTTTATCAAAGGCACTTTGTTTTGATTTTTTAAATCACTGTGAGAGACTCCCTGGCTGTTTCTACTTTGCCATATTTCACGGCTTAAAATTGTTTGTTTCCAATAATTAGTGTCTGCATTTACAACAATATGACTCGAATATGATTAAAAATGTGAATTTTCAGCTGAATTTGAAGAACAAATTCACTGACGGTGTCATCAGCTTAATAGAAACATGCTAACAAATCAAAATCAAACAAACCACTGCAGCTTAAACCCATTCTAGAGAAGAACTAAGTGTTTTTGTTAGTGTTGGTAAATGATGTGAGGCTGTAAACAGAATTAATTATAATAATAGTGTACATGTACTAAAGTGTTTGACGTGTTATTGGTGGCACTGTGGTGCAGAAGTTTCAAGCGCATGTTGGAATAAAACATATGGACGAGTATGTCTGCAAATGTTTTTTCCATTTGAAATATATTCATTCATTCAACTTTTATTTATAGAGGTAAAATATTAAAAACAGGAACATGTCTGCATTGATTTTTTTTCATGCTGATCGACTGAAGGCAGAATAAGATTATTCTTTTGCAGCAAGTCCATCTTTCATTGAGCTTGCATCCTCTTTTAATCTTTTACTAAAATTTAACGTGTAACTGCTTATTAAGCATTCACTCTATTGTGATCCATTTTTCTTCCGTACGTTTTCCAGCAACATTCTTGTCCCGCAGTTTTCAGCTCTTTCAGGACAATCCTGTTGTGACTTCTGGTACTGGTGCAACTTTAGCTTTTTGAAACATTTAGCCTTTTCTAACATTTTTGTCTCATAGAAAATGAATTGAGCTCATTTTACATCCTTCAAATCTTTAGATGTGTTCACAACCTTTTACTGCTCCTTTCACATTTTGTTCTGCTTCAGCTTCTTTCAGCTTCCTTCTGCAAATGTAAACTTTTTTCAGCTACTTTCAGCAGATTTGTTTTTGTGCTCCTTTCAGATTATTTCAGCTAACTACAACATTTTTGTGCTTTTTGTAACTTTTTCTGCCAATTTCTACTTGTTATGCTCCTTTTAGCTTATTTCTGCAATTTTATGCTTTTAATTGTTATTTCAGCTACGTTTTAGCTGTTTTATGCTAATTTAAGCTTTTTCAGCCCATTACACATTTTTTTGCACTCATTTAAACTTTTTTCAGCCTAATTCAACAAAAACGTGTTCTCTCTACTTCCTTCTTGTAATTTCAGTTTCTTTCTGGTTTTTTCAGCTACTTTTCAGCTGTTTTTGTTGTTGTTAATTTCAGCTTTTTCAGAACAGTTCCACATTTCTGTGCTCATTTCTGCTTCTTTCAACCTAATTGGGAAAGCGTGTTAATTCTGCTATCTTATGCTAATTTAAGCTTGTTCTACCTTTTCTTCTAGCTTTTTAGCTCAATTTATCTGTTTTCAGATCAATTCTTTTTTTGTGTGTGTGGTAATTTCTGCTACTTTCAGCCTAACTTCTTTCTACTAATTTCAGCTTAAGCTGCTTTTAGCCTTTTTCTGATAGTTTCAGTTATTTCAGCTACTATTTAGCTGTTTGATGATAATTTTAACCTTTTCATCTAATTTCACGGTTTTGCACCCATTTCAACTTTTTTCTATCTAATTCAGCAAAAATTAAAGTTTCTTTCTACTTTTTTAGCTACTTTTCAGCTGTTTTATTTATTTATTTATTTATTTATTTATTTGTTTTGCCAATTTTGCCCTTTTTCATATACTTGGATTTTTTCTACCTGGATTATTGAGCATGCATCAGGATGTTTTTCAGTAAGATCAGCAATAATAATAAGCATTCACACTGTATTTTCACAGGAAATGCCATTTCTCTAGTTATAACTTTGTTCTGTTTACAGCCTCCAATCATTTACCAACACTAACAACAACGGAAGAATGGCTTTAAGCTGCAGTGGTTTGTTTGAATTTGATTTGTTAGCCTGTTTCTATTAAAGTTGAAACTTTCAGTGGTTTATTTGTTAAAACTCAGCAGAAAATTCAAAATTTTTAATCATATTTGAGTCATATTGTTTTAAATGCAGACATTATTTATTGGAAACAACCAATTTTAAGCCGTCAAAATATGGCAAAGTAGAAACAGACAGGGAGTCTCTCACAGTGATTTAAAACGATCAAAACAAAGTGCCTTTAATAAAAGCTTGGTTTTCTTAGCAGTTCAGGTACAAACGAGTCGCTTTCTTGGATTTGAATAAAATAAAACATTAAAAACAAAGAACTGATTTCCATTTTGTGTTCCCTCATTTTAAGACAATCGACTGCAGCTTAATAATTTGTTTCTTTATAATTTACTTTACCTTCATAAAAAATGTCTCGTCAGGCAGCTGGTAAAAGCCGAAAACATCTGGATCAACACTAAACTGCAAGAAACATCAGTCGAGTTAATCCCAGCTGAAGTAGCCAGACGTGTATAAAGTACTAGAAAGATTAAACAGAGGGTATAAAAAAAGGTCTGACACTGATTTAATATCAGTATCTTGACTCTACCAACATTTTGCAGCATCATAGAAGCACTGAAAGGAATAAAACTCTTCCAGATGATGAGGTGTTGCTTAGTGGTCTCGGTTCTGAAGGAAATGTTGATTGGTATGGATAAATTTCTTTCTTTCAGGCATGAAACGCACAGCCAGTGCAGAGAAGAGAGGGTGAAATGCCTCGAAGCATACCGTAGGTGACACTGTTGAACCGCGTATTGAGAAGGGAGGCTGCAGGAACAAAAAGGGGGTCAAAGATAGAAACAGTAAAAAGGGCCACGGAGGCAGAATTAAATAGAAAATAATAATAATAAAGCAAGTTGTTTATTTTTCCCACCATGACTTGGTGCCTCAGAGCTGTCACCGTTTGTGAAAAGCCTTCTCGGCTGTGCTCCTCTGGTTTGTCAGTACCGATAATCTTCAGAGGGGGGCAACACGAAGCTGAACAACAAGCTAAAGGACGCCTGCACCTCCTCTACCCCTGCAGCTGCTGCACATGAGCTAAAGCTGCTGCTGCAAATCAAGCAGA